GGACCTCCACAAGTAGCGGCAGGCTGGAGAATGCACTCGTGGCACCAATCACTTCTAGAAGATCATATCTGGTCGTAATTATTTCTGGCATTTGTGCCGCAGTCGTGACTGCACTCCTACTCTCTGCGTGCACAAGTTACAGGTTTTGCAGACGAAGACTGATCTCAAGGTTGCCCCTAGGTCGTCTACTGCTAACACAGCTTGTGGGACCTAGGACGTTCACGTTCAGGGAACTCAGCAAGGCGACGAAGAATTTCAGTGACTAGGAGTTGCTAGGAAGTGGAGGCTGTGCCACAGTTTACAAGGGCGTCTTGCAGCCGTCGGGAACTGTTGTCGCAGTGAAACGAAGTCGACACGACAGCGAGTCTGCAGAATATGGGTTCATCGCTGAGGCATCCAGTATCTCCCAGATCCGGCACCGTAACCTCATCCAGGTTCTGGGATGGTGTCTTGAAAAAGATCGGTTTCTGATTGTCTGTGAATACATGAGCAATGGCAGCCTTGATGGGTGGCTCATCCGCAGCAGCCGTCGGCGACAAATCGCTTCGTGCAAAGCCAACACAGAATCCCGCGTTCTGTCCTTGCAACTGTGCAACACCATCTTCACCGGTGTCGCCCCCCCCGCTTGAGTACCTTCACGAAGATTGGTTGCAATGTGTTCTCCACTGCGACATCAAGTCCAGCAACGTGATGCTGGACGATCAGTTCAACGCGCGTGTGGGGGATTCGGCCTCGATGCATGGTCGACCACCAGAAGCTGGAGAGGACAACTCTGATGGCAGGCGCGCTCGGCTACATGGCCCCCGAGTTACCCCACACCGGAAAGGCAACGAAGGAATCCGACGTCTTCAGCTTCGGCATCCTGTTTCTGGAGGTTGTATGTGGGCGACGGCCCCTGAATGTACAAGCCATCAACAAGGTGGATGTGATGCTAGTGCACCAAGTGCGGCGTGCCATCGAGAGCAACCACCCCTTGAGCGTGGTGGATCGAAAACTTCCGCAGTGGTCATCACATGTTCACGCAAAAGAAGAGGAATCTGAAGCCGACATTACGCCATGTGATCTGGACGAAATTGACCGAGAACGAAAGATAGTGGTTCATCATTTGCTTTTGGGGCTGTTGTGCTGCCTTCCGAATCCTCGCTCTCGACCATCGATGCGAGTGGTGCACCAGACGTTGCAGCAAATCGGCAACGACTCGCAAGTCGGGGACAACATCCCGTCTCTGATGTCTTTGCCACTGAGCCAGCCTGCTGACCAGTTTGCTTTCTTCGGGTTCGTGAACGCTGACGCAGCCACCAGCACGTCATCAGAGCCGATCAAGAGTGATGTTGCAGAATCTCGGTAGCTTCAGTTTGGAATTTGAATAGTGATCCTTCGTTCTCAAGGGCTCTCGGAGGAGCAAAGCGGACCCTTCTTCTTCCATTGCCGAACGAAGTACTATTCTCGTCCATCGGTATTCAGTTGATGGATGCTTGAAGATCATTTATCTTTGGAGCAAGTCCAATTTATGGATGTGGCTATTGGGTAACATTGTTTTCATAATCAAATCTAGTGATTTTCTTGATATTAAATGGTATTTTTGTGGTTGGTTTCTGGAAGTGGAATCGTGGAAACATACTCATTACAATCAAATTTTTGAATATGCAGCAAACTTTGAGAAATCAATTCAGTCAGTTGAATTTCAAGATGAAATATTACGGAAAGTGATTACAATTGAAGTTTGTTTTAGGTGGTCATACAGGAACCAACTTATGATGAATTGATTGTTTTAAGGTAGTCTCAGTTTGGGAGATGGCTTTTGAGAGGACATGAAACTTGAGGTCAGTGATGTATGAAGCTTACTTATGAGTAATGAAGAATTTGAATGCAAATATTTATTTCGTTGATACTTGAACTTGAATGTAAATAGAGAAGATAAAAAAAATACTTTCAAGGTTGTACTGTACAAGTGAATTTAGACTTGTAGATTTTAAAATCATGAGGTAAATAATTTCTAAATGTTATATACCTAGAATATGTGTTAAAATACTATACAAAGGTTTGTGCAGTGTATATATATATATATATATATATATATGTATATATATATTCCAACATACACATACATATGGTGTTCAAAATATATATTACATACAGTTGTTTAAATTATTGTAGAAAAATATTTTAATAAATTCATAATTATTTATTTTTGTAAAGCATAGTGAAGTTTTTTTTAAAAGATAGTACTTGATATTAGTAAATTGTATTTGGCATATTCTAAATGCTTAGTTTTTAAGAATAAACAATTTTCACATGAAATACATGCTTTTTATAATTATAAATATGTAAACTAGATGTGGTTGTAAGTAATTAAAATTGGTGCTTTAAGTATTATTGAATTTTAAATAAATTTGTTATTTTTTTTTTGTAAAACCATGTTTTAAAAATATTCTTTACTTCAAAAATAACTTTTGGATTTCAAAGATAGATTTTCTATTACAAATCTACATACAATGTTAAAGAAATTTATATAATGATTTTTTAAAATATTAAAACATACATTTACAAATGCTAATGAAAATTAATAATAACAGTATTTTTATAAGATAGAAAGTTGTTAGAGAATCTATGCTAAATGATAAGAAACTAAAGAATCTTAATTATCAAGGACATAAATATAAAAAAATAAATTTGAGAAGATAATATATTCTTGTATACTGAAAGAATAATAATGTAAAAATATATTTACTATTTAAGTAAATAGAAAAAAATAAAAATAAATAGAAGAAAATAAAATATATTAAATAGATAATATATTTTTTATAAAACTTTAAAAAAGTTTTTGAGATGCAAATTAGAGCTTTAGATTTTTATAAATATTCCATGGAGATATAGAATTTTTTTCTGTAAGTTTCTTATCTTTAAAAGGCTACATTAAAAGTATCATATAACTTAATACTTTATACTTGGAGTATAAGTATCATGATCCTCAAAAAGCTTCCATAAGATCTTAGTAGCTAATATTTATAAAGAGAAGAGTATTGCCACTTTAGTCTTGTCAATGCATTTTTTGTATTACAATCTTGCTTCAAGATTCTCTAGTTTCTTTGTAATGAGTAACAGTCATACTAATTCTTTTTAAGCTTATATCTATTTAATTTATTTTTTTATTTTTTTATTTTTTATAATAATTAATTATATTATCTTTTAATTTTTTTCTAAATTTAAGCTATGACAATAAAAAAGAATAAATAGTTAAAAAATAAAAAAACACTAATATGACTACTACTAATTACAAAGAAATTAGAGAGTATTGAATAAAGTTTGTAATAGAAGAGAGGTATTAGCAACACTAAGGATGATCTCACTCTTGCCTCCATTTATATTAGCCATTAAGAAGATTATATTGAAGCTTCTTAAGAATTACAAAGCTTGTTGACTGAGTCACAATTTATAGGTTGCTTCTAACATAATTTTTTAAAAGAACAAAACTTATAATATACTTAAATACATATATATATATATATATATATATATATTTTTTGGTTTTTCTTTTATTTTCATTATTTTCTTGTGGACAATGTTTTTATATTTTCATATTTTTGTACATATAATTTTTATGATGCCTTCCATAAGTGTATGTACGTTGGGTTCGGTGGTGGAACTGAAACAGACACAGAATCGCTTGAGATAATTTCTCTGAGCCTGCTCTTGCAGCATCCTTAGCAGCACCTCCCGCAGCATCCACTCCAAGACGAGCTATACTCATCTCTGGCATTTGTACCGCAGTCGTAACTGCCCTCCTTCTCTCTGCATGCATAAGTTTCAGCTTTTGTAGGCGAAAATTGATCTCAATAAATCCCTTGGTCGTAAATAGAATTTGTAGCATAATCACAGGATTCTCTACACTTCATGTTTTCATGTAATATTTCTCCATTGGAACGTTCCAATACTTCAGCTGTTTTATCTAAATCAATTATGCGTATAGTTGTCACTTTTGGGTAGAATTGCTTTCCGTACTAGATTGTGTGCTTGTAATTGCTCAGCTGCACCAATTGAGCTAATCTAGTTCTTCGTCCTCCATTGCCCAACAAATGAGAAGTTAAAGGACTGTAGAATCGACTTTATATTCTACATTATTTTCTTTTTTTATTAATTTTCGTGATTAGTTGATTGTTGTTATGATTTTCATTGTCTTTGGATCATTCTAGATGAACAGACAATATTAATTTTGACATTGTTTTCACAATTAATTATATAATTTTATGATTTTCAGTGGTTTTATTTTGTTTATTTTCATGGTACTTGGTTTTGTGAGAACTTATTATGCAGGTAAGATTCATGAAGTAGATTCCCTGAAAATTGAAAAAAAATTGGTCAACAAAGAATAAATTAATCACAATGTTTGATGTCTATCTTCAAACTTTGATGAAATAACTTAAACATTTTGTAATAGAGACATTTTAAAAGAAACTCACTGAAGATATGTGATATTTTAAGACAATAATATATGAAAACCCGATTTTGCATTGTCAAGAAACTCAACACAAGTGTCATTTATTTATCAGATGGTATTTAAACTTAATCTAAAGTTTAAAATTCTAATCTCAAAATAGCATTTTATATGTAGATTAAGACTTTACGATTATAAACCTCAAACATCCAAAGTACTGAACAAGCATGATACATGCCAAAATAGCACATAATATAGCCATAAAGATTCTATAATCGTTGTATTTGTGCATACTTTTGAAAAAATAAACTTCAACATCATAAAATAAAATATATATAGTCCAGTTTGCAATCATCTCAGTTATTTAGATCTCAAAGTAGATCAAATTAATTAATCTCAATTACCCTCGAAAAGCTGACAGTTTACACAAGCAAGTTTCAGCGCACACTCAGGGTGTTGCGAACATGAAGAGCAGCATCGCCATTGCAAGCCTAATAATACAAACAAAAGAGAGCGTATATTTGTCATCAGTTCAGGCTCTCACTAGGAACTGCTGGTCGCCGCTAGTGGGTTTGAAGGCACTGATTGTGGGCAACGGCCACCTTTGGATCCTTCGCCGTCGCGGGACCACACCCTCCTCCGTTCCTCCCTCCCTCGCTTGCCCTTCTCTGTTCAGTCGTCGCCTCCGCGCTGGGAAATGACACCGTCCGTGCCCCTTCTTCAACTTCCTCGCACGAGGAAACAGAGGACGATTGCACCAACACTCTGATCGCCTCCACCGTCATTGCGGTAGCACAAGTCCTTCGGAGAGGTGGTTTCCGAAATTTGATTATCTCACCGCGAGCTTGGAGATTCAAGAGGGGGTCTGATCGGGTGTGCTGATGGGTGCTGCTTGGGCGGTTTCGGTTTCGGGACTTGCAAAAGTGAAGATTTTGGGGCAGTGGTTTTTACAGAAGTGCTGGACTGAATGGTATCTTAGGTTTTGCTAGCTGAGGAGCTGGTTTTTTCTTGGACATGGATCGAAGGATTTCGCTTCAGACGTGTTTTGGATCCTTGTCATTTCTATCATGTGCCGTAAATGGAAGTTCTTTGTAGTCGGAGGTAAGATCTGTCACTTTCGTGTACGGTGGTCACGACTGTTGTCATTTGGATCCAATGTCATGCAATTCCGGAGGACTTCGGAGGAATGTATGGATCGGAGTTTTGGTGATTTATGGGATCGTCCTTCCAGGCATGACATGCTTTGAGCTCTTGAGACACTCAAATCAGTTGTGGAGCCTTTGATTCTCTCAACAACTGATGCATTCCCAACAAGTCTCAGGGGATAGGACCCTGGTCATGGGTCCGAAACGAGATGGTCCGAATTGGGTGATGATTGCTGGAGGTGCCATCGTCATGGCGGTGGGAATCGTAATCGGACGCAAGCAGATCCAGTGCCAACGCGATCAATTCAGAGGCCGTTCTTCAAATCTTTTGAAAGCAGAAATTTCAACTTTCGTAGGTACGATGCAATGGATGGCGTGAATGGCACCCTGTAGAAGTTTTCTCGTTTCATTGCATGACCTTTTACCTCCGTTGCTGAGGTAGTTTGCGCTGTTGCCGCAGATCCCAAAGTGACTTCAAGTAAAGGAACACCTGGTTCTCGCGGCGTAGACTATGAGTTTGACGCTCCTCGTGTGAAGGAGCTATTCGACGACAATTTCTCACCTGGTATTTTGTTCTCTTATGAATTGACACAAACAGAATTAGCTCTCTAATTTGCTTTGAACGTTGTTCAAGGCTTTAGATGTGTTGTCTGCAAGATTCTTTCTTCCCCCAGGTTTCTATTTCCTAGTACATCTTCCGATCACAAATTTTTGGTGACTCTTTTGCTTCAAGTTACAGATGTCAGCTCTGCTTAGACTTTCTTGACCTTGTACTTGAAAACCGTCCGTTTTCTCTTGTCCAGGACGTCGTGTTGTTACTGCCGTAGTCTAAACGTATATTGATTCTCATTTATTCAATTCATAGATTGTTCTTGGCTAAGATTTCTGTGTATGTTTAAAATTAAGGCATGTTTCATCTTTTACAGATGGCACTGGCTCCAAGCTCTCTTGGAAGGCACCTCGAGTGATGGCTCATTGGGATGGTTCAGGGACTCCCGCTTCGTTTCAACCTCAGGTTGACTTTTACAGCTCTAAACCAAAGCGAACTTTACCAAATAAATCCTCTCTTCCAGCATTCAAAATGTGTCGCCAGATGAAAGATGAGACTAGTAGTGGAGAAGAACCCCCATCAGACACATACTCCTCCTCGGCCTTGAGGGCTGGTCTTGCATCCAAACGTGAAATGGTGATACGGTTGAGGAAACAATTGAGGAGCAGAGATACGATTATTTTTGACTTGCAGGTGAATTTTATCTCTTCACTTTCTCACTTCAACAGCAATGTGACTTCTTAGATTCATGCTCTTAATCCCTACGAGCAACCTACACACTTTCAAGTATTCATCAACTTACCATTTCGAAATTGGAAGCTCAAATCTCTACTTGTGTGCCTGATTAGTTGGTTCTGTCGGCAGGGTCAAATTTCAGATCAAGATCAAGTTATAGCAATGCATCGTGCTCAAACTGCGGACCTGCAAGAGCGCCTGGATTCTACTAATACGGAAATATTTAATACAAACCTTGAGATGCAGAGGTTACGTAAAGAAATGAGGATGATAGTTGCAAAACCTGTCTTCGATATTGAAGATCTCAATGAAAGTGATATTTCTGACCACAAGAAGCAGCTCACAAACACTGTAAGTCATGCGCAATACAAATTGGAAACTGACATCATAAGTTTTGTTTGTGACTTCGTGAAGATCCTGTGATATCTTAAATAACACCATGGGCTGTAATACTTGCTAGTGTTTTCTTAGGCAATTCTTGCATATTTTTTTCGGTACTGATGATTTGTGGTCTACAGAGCATGTACTATTTTTTCTGTTTGATTTTCTTCTGTTTTATGTTTGAGTGATTATTATTTCTACTGTGAGAAGGTTTCTTCTTTCGCATACATTTTTCAATAATCTGTGAGTTTAACTTTTCAACCGCGTGCAGAATTTGAAAGCTGTATTGCTTGAAACAAACATGCTGAAAGAAAAGATTATACGTTTGCAAATTAAGAAACAAGACTTGAAGTCTCAAGTCCAAGCGTTTTCGCGAGAATGTGAGTTGCTTTTTCGAAAAGTCTCGGCATTAGATGCTGAGAGAGAGGAGTTAAAGAAATTAATAAATGAAAAGGGACTCATGCTTGAAGCTAAGGAACAAGAGTGGATCGAGCTTACTGCCGCATTTGTCAACCTCCAGCGCAACTCGCACCCTGAAGTATGCTACACTACTCATTTTATCATATGATGCAGTTGTCTGGTCCTAGATCAATATCTTATCCGCTATCCGTCATGTTTAGGGTTTGCTTACTCCATGGAGCAGAAACTCACCTCGATTTTCAGATGCAATCAAATTATACTTTTCCTTTATGTTGAACATACTCTTCGCTTCCGGATCATAGAACAGAGACAGTGACTGGACAAGAATTAGCGACGTCAGCAGGGCATCGGATACTCGAAGTGAGAATTCTAGGGGCACTTGGAGTGATGCCTTTGACCAGCCTGTAAGTTGCAACACCTCTGATGACTATTGCCCACGGTCTCCAAATATTATTGATAGCGACAACCAACTTGCTGGGTATGTCTATCTTTAACGAATTTTAATATCACATTTCTCATCTCGATTACAAATTTTTGGGGTGGCTTGTGTTGCTTGTGGTGCTCGACGGAGACTTGGGCTGCTCGGATGCTACGCTTTTGATCCTTATCTTAAATGTCATATGTAGTGATTGATTGTGGAGAATCAGTGTTCAAATCGAATAAGAAATTTGGTACTTACAACCGCAAAAATCTTTCAGGGATTGTGTGCGATCGTACAATACGCTGTTCAGGCAAAGTCCTAGTCCATTACACAGCGATGGGAGTGTCTCTAAACCAGGATCAAGGACTAATCTTACGGGATGTACGTGCAAGAGTATGTGTGATGGAAGTCCGAATTATGATGGACCAGATTGTGACAACGATGAGACTCCTAGTCTAAGTCTGGTGTGGACTCTGCAGCAAGAAGTGTATCAGCTTTCAGATGCACTGGCTAGCAAGTCTAAAGCTGTGAGTTGATCGCTCACGATTTTTTTTTTTCTTTTTTCTTACTATTTCAGAAAGCAATCCTTTTTACCTCTGAAAGTGAACCTGTATTTGTGCTTTGTTCAGTATGTTGTCTATCCCAATTTGAATATGTGGGAAGATTAAATTATGACTGCAATTTTTCTCTGGACCTGAATTCTTATTCCTTGCATTTTGCAGGTGTCTCAGAAGAAGCTGGAGACAAGCCGTGTTTTGACTGAATTTCAGGTTTGTTACTGGAACTCAACCTTGACGCTGAAATACTTGAAGTTGACTGACTTATATGAATAAAACAAGAGAAAAAATCCTGTCAATATATATCATAAAACAATATAATGGCATACTATATTTTCTAGTTTCATTCAAATTTATTTTCTTATATTCTCTTGTTCTAATCTTCACTAGAAATGCATTTTATACTGACAATACCAGAGGAATCCTCGCCTACGTGTGCTCGAAATACATCGAAGTAATTCATTTCTAGTTTGAAGATCGCGCTTAGATCCCCAGTCACTGTTCTGGATAGTTAGTCACAGAGATTTGATTTAATTTTTCTCTGGAGGTATAATTTGTTCAGGGGGTGTGCGCAGGCAACTCAAGCAACTTCTATTTCCAGACCAGATGAGTATGATTGGGAATACCTTTCACAGGTCCTCTGTTTCTCGCCTGATGGCACGTCAACAGAACAGGTTGGTGTTCCTGTAGGTTTTGACTGTGAAGAGCAAAGATTTCAGATAGTGAGCACCACACTTTGTTACCAGTGGGTGGTCACTCCCTGTGTATTTTCACAATTAATTTTCCGTCACATATACCCAGCATATTCCTTGCTACTGAATTCTTATCAATGACCTCTTGGGTTCAAAGTTTTATTGGTGATGCCTTTTTTTGGTTCCAAATTAATTGTTTGGAATTGTTAACCATCATCAACTGGTGTCATGGGCACAGCTACAAGGATTGAGCCACAAGCTCGAGAAAGTGGCTAAACAGCAACAAGTGGAGGATGAACTTGAAGCTCTTGCTAGACATCAATCTAAAATTAGAGCATTAAGGTCACGCTTGAGTAAACTTAATGCAAAGAGTAACGCCAAAATGGACGAGTCATCCAACGAATCGGCTCTTCGGGTGGCTTGGATGATTTCAGACGTTGCTGAAAGATTGAATGTTCAGGTCTGCCGAGCACAAGTCATTTTTCTTACTTTGCTCAAATCTTAAATTCAACGTATGTCATCAGACTACCGACACTTGCACCCGACGCACACATCAAGCTGAGTGATTGTTATTCGATTACTATTAATCCTTTCACTCAAGATTCACCTCTCTACTTTTGCATGCTATCTCAGGAAGAACGAGTGCGAGAGACATCTATGGACATTCAACAATTGTCCATGTCACTTCAACTTTCATCACCTTACGTTCCTCGCTCCAAGGTGCCCGTCTCGGTGTTCTCTTGGATGTTTGTTCTTGTCGTTAGAGGCTTTTCAATGGCTTCAATGTGATCAAATTACCTCAAGTTTAAGTTTAATTAGATACGATATTACTGTTGGAGGCTCAAATCAACATATTTGCGCAAACTTGTATATACGAAGATCTGACAGATCCATGGTGGTGAAGGTATAAATTGCGTTTTGCTGGTGTGATTGTATTTCTTGGAGCATGCCTTTGCAATCCCTTGTGTGGAAGGATGAATCTGTGGATGTGCTGCTGTGCAGAAGCAAGAATTACGAAGGATGCTTCAGGGATGTGGTAAACATGCTGATGGTTCTATCCGCAATTGTGTGGTTCACAAAGACATTCCTGTATCACCTGGTCCTTCTGCTGACTCTAGGTGAGTTTAAGTGATTGATTTCCTCGTCTTCTATGTTTTCTTTTTTCTTTTTCTTTTTTATTCTGTCAAGTGATGCAGCGGAAGTACCTGCATTAACGATTGTCCCTCTATGATTGTGTCAATGGATTATTGGCTCTCCGATTAGGTGATGATTTATCACCATCTCAAAATGTTTCATTTTTACCCTCTCGAATATGTAGATATACTTGCAATGTTATCATAGTGCTCGTAAATGTTGTCTGATTGTATTATTCTCTTAAATTGTCTTGTTCAGTTATGTTGCACCGGAGCCAAAATCAGACAACTACTCCTCCCGGTTTTTTGATCGTCAAATTTCGTTCTCATCTTTACCTCACAAGGAAGATGCGCTTATGCTATCTCCAGAAAAACTTCCAGATAAGGTGTATGAATTCCAAGTAGGAGCTTTCGATCCACTTCCTACTATCAAAACACGCAAGTCTGGGAATCTTGGGGCTGCAAATAGCTCACTACGAAAGTCCGCAATTCATCAAGGTCCCGGAACTGGGTTGAAATGGGATGCTGGCATGGAGAAGCCCATTGTACAGAAAAGTACTCGAAGGGTTTGTTTTAGCCCTGAAGAAGTGACAGGCGGCTTTTCTTTTCGTCCTTCGGCATCTAAAGCTCTTTTAAGTCCCGGTATTAGACTCTATACTTTTAGCATGTTGCGTTTCTCTCCCCAAGTTTTCAGAGACTAATATTTTGGCCTTCACTAACAGCCTAAATTTGAAAATCACTTTGGACAGTGAAAGAAGTGTTATGATTCCATTTCTTGAGTCGCTGTAGCCCTCTAACCACCGATTGATATGTCAGAATGAGCCATATTGAATTTGCACTGTAGTTTACTGACAAGCTTTTATGATTACGCACATTGCCAATGGTGACGCAGATAGCGTTAGACGTACCAATTTTGAGGCGGATGATAGCGTTACGAACTCAGAGCATTTCCAGTTCCGACCGGAAATCCACGAAGCTTCGGATCAGGAAACGAGCACTGAAGTTGGTGCTCAGCATGATTATTCTAGCAGTTGCACACACGCCTCGTCTCATTCTCAACCGACTATCTCATGGTCTGCTTCTGTAGGCCCTGAAAATAGAGATAACTTGAGAAGGCTTTTTTTTAAACCTGAAAATTCTTCACACACAGGGAACTCATCAAACACAGTACCCGATCGTAAGAAAGATGCAGCAAATGAGCTGGGAGATTCCTATAATACCGAAAGGGATTATGGATATGTTACTGACGATGGAAACATTGAAGTGCAAACTAAAAGGCCAACCGATGAGGATTCTCCGTCTGTTTTGGTTGCAAGTTCCAACAGTGCAATGCTTAAGCAAGACATGCATTCTGGACCTGGGCCTGTGGGGATGTCACCATTTGCAGCTAGAATGGCGTGTTTCGACATGAAAAGGTCAAGCTCTTCACTCACCGCTTCACAGGGCAACGAAGGGGCTAACCAGGGGGTTTCTTTACCGTCCCGTGATGAGGACGCAGATGACTTGGCTTCATATATTGACTTGAAGCTAAATGTTGGAAAAGAAAATCTAAGATCGAATGGACTCTTTCAATTTGGAAGTCAATCTGTATCTCGCATGATTTCAAGCAAGGACAACTGGGAGGAGAGTCAAGCTATGTCAGGAAAAGATATATTCCGCTGTGATCGAAGACGATGGAACTCCTCTCAAGATTCTTGTCGCTGATTTACCGAGCTAAGTGGGAAAGTTTCTCTGATGATTGGTGATTACTCAGTTCTTTTTGATGTGTTGTAGGTGATGCTATACCCTCAAGACCTCAAGACTGTCAACAAGCAAAATCTCATTGCTTTGAAGCTCTAGACAGCTTCCTAGTGAGCATTCACATTTCGAACTGTGTCCAATGTTTGAGACTGGTTGTCTAAGAAGTAAAGACTGGGAGGTTTCGTATATCTGTACCTATATATATGTAGAATAATTCACAAGTTCTTAATTTATTGCACGAAAAAATAGATTCTTCGTTTTCAAAATTATATTTAGCTGTGATGTAAAGCATGTTAATGTAACATTAAAATTACATTCAATAAGTTGATGAACAATGGACTTAAACTTGAGGCTTGGGTTTACAAAACCAGGCTATGTTTCAGTCATAAATTATTACTTAAGGAGTGTTTATTTCTTAAAGTTACTTTTAAAAGGCTCAAAAGTCTGATTAATGAATCCCATCTTTCAAATATTCAAAAGTTTTATCAAGGGATTCCACTTTATGAAGAGAAATTTTCCTTCAGCAGCATAGTGTAAATAAAAAAGAGGCTGTGAAATGGTGCTATGAGATGGTTGATTAATACAACTTGATTATTGTGAGGAATTAGAATAGTACATTTGGCAAAAAGAACTCTTGATTTAGTTCAACAACTCTATGGATTTGCATATAACTACAATAATATCATTGTTTTATATTGCCAAATAGTTTTTTCAACATACATTGTAATGCAATTATTATACATTTGTATTAAAAAAATTCAAAAAGTTAATACAACTACATAATTATTCCAAACTTCAAAGAAATATTTTTGAAATATTAGATCTTTTTAGTAATATTCAACATGATTTTAAGTCTAATATCAATTTTAAAAATTCTAACTTATTATAATGTATTTTTTTGGAAAAATATTATATTTATCTTTGAAATATGTTGAAACATCAAAAATATCCATACATTCTTGATAATAGCAAATATAGCCTTAAATATTATAAGGTATCACTAATCAGATAAAGGCGCATCTATTCTTGGAAATTCTATTATTATTTTTTAATTTTGTATGGAATACAAAGTTCAAGCAATTGCACCTCTCTTGTTTGCAGCCCCCTTGTCATCTATCCCCATAACACTTATATCCTTATTAGTATTGAATAATACCTTGTAAAGTGGTACTCTATCCATACAAACCAAGTTTTATTTTGTCTAAAAATGCAACTACCTCAACACTAAACTATGGACAAAATCTGCTATGATCTTGTGAAAAAGCCCAACCTCATGGTTTGCTATACATCTTACTGTACTTTGGGCCCCTTGCTACTATTATAACTTTCTTTGGTATTTCAAACCAACATTTTGTATTTTCTTATTTGTTGCTAGGCACTCTTAAATTTCTATCATATATGAATTCCACAATAAGAAAAGTCCCAATTTTTAGTAGAACAATATATTCAATAAAATTAGATCTATCATTAGTGAGGGCGAAGATTATAAACAAGTTGCTTCTTAATAATTGGCTTGACTACTTACATGAATTTAATCAATAGTAGAGACTTTAATTTTGAGTACTACTACAATCAAATAGCTATTGGATCTAAACCAATTTCTATAGCAATAGGTAATAATAATATTCAAAAAAGTCTTACTTCTATATATAAGTATTTATTCTTTACTCTAGATTTTTATCTTGTGCAATATCATTTTTATAGTTATAACAAAAAATACGTCTTTGTATATGATAATACTACTTTGACATATTCAATTATTATACATCTAACTTTAGTTTTAGTAGATGAGATAGGATTCTTGTCCTATGAGAAGAATGGAAAGTTTTCATCAATACAATTCTATGGATGATCATCTAGTCATGGCTTCAAATTAGGTAATGTCTTTGAACTTCTTGTTGAATGAAAGCCATGCAAATCATATTTTTTAAGAGTGCAATAACAAATCGATCCTTATTGTAGACTATTTGCAGTACAAAATCATAGGAAAAAAAAAAAAACCTAATTGGCTATCAAGACAAGCTTGATAGTGGCAATAGAGCCATCTTTATATTGATTTGATGCATTTGTTGATGTTGGATCTAATTTAATAAATACATTCAACAATGGAGTTGAAAAAGTCGATCTTTCTTAAGAGTAAAATTAAGAATTATGCCATATCAAGCTACTTATCATCCCTTTGCTCAACATAATTTCACAAATTAGTACCATTTTGTTTTTGAGGGATTCAAGAATTAGTGTCAATTCCAATAAAATCTAGAGATGAATGTACAACAGTTGCCAGTCCTTCAATATACATTGAATAAGATGAATTTTAATGAAAGTTTAAAAAACTTGAAAACTTTATACCAAAATCTTCATTCTTACTCATAATAAAAATAAATCTTTTTGTCTATGTTGTAGTGATGGTAGGTACTTGGTCACCACCAAATTTGGTGCCACAACCATGCTAGAATAATCTACCTTCTAGTGCTCATTCATCTATACATAGATAGAAAAAAATATATATATATATTTGCAATCCATTGTACAAATTTATGGGCTCTTTTTTTCATGCCAAATCCTTCTTTTTTTGTCTCCTTTCCATGAAAATATAAGACGTTGCCATTTTGAAGTAAATAATAGAGATTTGATGACTATTTGCCAAAATATAGCCTTAAAATTTGGTTTTATCTTGCCTACATTACATTCACATAGAATTGTTATTGTAAGAATCTAATTGGTTACTTTGCACTTTTTAAATATAATTTCAATAAACATTTCATTGTCATGAAATCAATAAAGGTATAAGCATTGTAAGGATAGATGACAAGGAGATTTCAAGCAATTGAGCCACAACTACTTGAACTTTGTGCTCGATAAAAAAAATAAAATAATAGAATCATTAAGAATGGATGTATCTTTGTCAAATTGGAAATATCTTATCATATGTAAGAATAAATATGTTATTATCAATACTTTTAGAAATATATTTATTATTATTAAAGATATAAAAATATTCTTAATATTTCAATATATTTCAAGGAGATATATGATATTTTTCTATTTTTTAAATAATATTAGAACATATTTAAAATATTTATATTATCAAGAAAAAAAAACAATTAAAAGATTAGATATATAATTTAGACTAAAATAAAGCACAAGAAAAGTATTGATAAGAATTTAGAAGGCTTCATTGTTGCCTCTCAAAATTAAATGATTTGGAGTTTTAATAGAAGAAATATACATGTTCAAAGTTAAGGTATTGATTTTGATTCTACTATCATTTTTAGGTATATAATATACTCTTTCAAAAAAGAATAAAAGATTGGTAAGTAAGATCAAAGAAAATACTTTTTTTTCCTATATATATATATATATATATATATATATATATATATATGGCTTGATGCATTTTAAGTTATAATGAAGGAGATATTATAAATTGAAGTCAATGCTTGTAATATTAAGATTAAAAAAATCATTTGATAGAACATAGCCAATAAATTAAAGATAAGCTTTCTATAGCTAGGTACCAAGTATATTTCTAGATTAAAAATCATGTCATGTAATAATATGACCTTGAAGAATTATATTTATATTATAGAGAACTTAAAAAAATTTCTTAATATTATCCAAATAAATAGCATAACTACAAACTTAGTAATATAGCTATTGATAAATAAAATGCATCAAAAATAAGTTTGTTTAATTACAATAGGAATTCTAAGGTTGGATTTTTATGCAATATTTTGTAAAGCTTTTATTGTTTTTTTTAAAAAAATTATTCTTGTTTTATGATAGAAATTTTTTTAAGATCTGAAAAAAATTATATTAAGAATTAGATAAATACTATAGAATATTATTATCATAGGTAAAATTCCAACAAATCCTAGGAGAATAACGTATATTTTAAGATATATTTTAATAGAAAATAAGATGCCAAAGGATATACTTCTATTAAATTGAACTTCAATTGGTTGTAAGTGGATGTTTAGAATTGAAAGAGACGCAATAGACAATGTTATAAGATATAACATAAGATTGGTTGCCAAAGAGTACTTACAAGTTATTAGTGTTGATTTCAATGAGATATTTACTTTTATGGCCAAATTCATTAATATTAGAATTATTGTAGCAATTGGATATTGAAGAACCATAAGTTAGAAGCCCTAATACAAAACATCACTAAGGTTGCATACAAAAAAAAGTATGGAATAAGATAACTCTCACTTTTAATATCTACTATTTATAAGTAGTGATTGTTGCCTTTATTAATAACTTCCATCTTTCAAATTTTACATCCATCAAAGGATATACTAAATATATAGTATTGATGCAAATAAATATTTTTAATGTTTTCACAAATAGAGTCAACTTGTTGTAGTCAATAGAAAAAAGGAGAAAGACAGCAATAAGTTAGTGATTATCTTTTTTTTGCATGGATGTAAGCTACCACACCTACAAACAATAGTAGATTATTAAGTAAAGATAGGAATTGACATGGTGGGATAAATATAATTACATGTTATTATTCAATGCAATAGATGCATTTTCTTTTAATTACGGTTATTTTTATTTTTATTTTCTATTTTTCTTATTTACAAAGGAATTTTTTTATAATTAAGGTAGTATGATAATTTTTTGGTAGGACGACATTGATAATTTCACATACACTAAATCGGAGAGACATCAAACATAATAACTAGAATTTATTGAATAGAGAATTGCGTATTATTTTCTTTCACAAATGATGATACATAATACTCATGGCTACTAAGCAATGAAGGCATAGAGTTAAAAGACATATTTTTGATATTCAAAACCTTTAGCTTGATTTTGTTGATCGAGAAATTCAGATATCAAAGGTAGAAGGTACCTATTCTTGATGGTGATCTTGTTGAATCCTCGATAATCAACACACATCCGCAATGATTCATCTTTTTTCTTTACAAATAAGATTGGAGCTCCTTGTGGCAATTTGAAATTACATATGAAATTCTTGGCTAGATTTTCTTCAATATATTCCTTGAATGCAGCAAATTTCTTTTGTGATAAACTATAGATTGGTCCAAATGGTAATTGTGCTCCTTCTTAAAGGTCAATTGAATAATCATAAGAGTGATGTTCTAGAAGAGTATCCGCATTCTTCTTCTCAAATATATCTTGAAATTCTTGATATTGGTTGGAAATACCACTTGAAGTCTTTGCATCATTAGAAACAAGTGTGGCGTAAATGACACAAGGTGATCCTTCTTTTGTAGCATGCAAGAAAGCTCTTGCACCTACAAACATAGGTTTAATTGCATTAGAATTATGACTTTCTACTAGATTAATTTCACTCTTAATTATGCTTTTAGAGAAGTCAAAGGTAGGAAAAATCCAATCTATGCAACGATTATACTTTTCTAACCATGATAAATCTAAAATCACTAGAT